GCAATGTCACAAGATTTATTTCCATCCAGTGTTGCATTAATTTTTCACCAAGATCTTGCATTGATGATGGTAGAGTCTGACCGCTGCGCAAAGCCTTCTCCAGCACATCCCAAAGATTCTCAATGGGGTTAAGGTCTGGACTCTGTGGTGGCCAATCCATGTGTGAAAATGATGTCTCATGCTCCCTGAACCAGTCTTTCACAATTTGAGCCCGATGAATCCTGGCATTGTCATCTTGGAATATGCCCGTGCCATCAGGGAAGAAAAAATCCATTGATGGAATAACCTGGTCATTCAGTATATTCAGGTAGTCAGCTGACCTCATTCTTTGAGCACATACTGTTGCTGAACCTAGACCTGACCAACTGCAGCAACCCCAGATCATAACACTGCCCCCACAGGCTTGTACAGTAGGCACTAGGCATGATGGGTGCATCACTTCATCTGCCTCTCTTCTTACCCTGATGCGCCCATCACTCTGGAACAGGGTAAATCTGGACTCATCAGACCACATGACCTTCTTCCATTGCTCCAGAGTCCAGTCTTTATGCTCCCTAGCAAATTGAAGCCTTTTTTTCCGGTTAGCCTCACTGATTAGTGGTTTTCTTAAGGCTACACAGCTGTTCAGTCCCAATCCCTTGAGTTCCCTTCGCATTGTGCGTGTGGAAATGCTCTTACTTTCACTATTAAACATAGCCCTGAGTTCTACTGTTGTTTTTCTTCGATTTGATCTCACCAAACGTTTAAGTGATCGCCGATCACGATCACTGAGGATTTTTTTCCGGCCACATTTCTTCCTCGAAGACGATGGGTCCCCACTATCCTTCCAGTTTTTAATAATGCGTTGGACAGTTCTTAACCCAATTTTAGTAGTTTCTGCAATCTCCTTAGATGTTTTCTCTGCTTGATGCATGCCAATGATTTGACCCTTCTCAAACAGACTAACATCTTTTCCATGACCACGGGATGTGTCTTTCGACATGGTTGTTTAGGAAATGAGAAGCAACTCATTGCACCAGTTGGGGTTAAATAACTTGTTGCCAGCTGAAAGATAATCGCCCATGCAGTAATTATCCAATAGGAGGCTCGTACCTATTTGCTTAGTTAAATCCAGGTGGCGACTTTTTTTTTGGCCTGGCAGTGTATTTCAGATGTCTTAAACATGAGTTTCAAAACAAAGACACCTTAACATTGTATATGCTGCCACTTTCCCCCTTACTTGTGCCCTCTCAGTCTCCTGAATGCAGTTTACAAGACGCAGATGCAAAGCATTTTTGTGAGCAATGCTTTACTTATTATTTGCACAATGCCTATGGCTGTTGCTGGTGGCAAGATAGTTTTCAGTGAGCTAAAACTAATCAAAAACTATCTGAGGTCTGTTATGTCCCAGAACAGGCTTTGCAGTCTTGCCATGCTGTCCATTGACTGCCAGTTCGCTAGAAAGCTGGACTTCAAAGTAGGGCTACCCCCGACTAACAATTTTCCTCGTCAACCAATAGTCCATTAGGGCAATTAGTAGACTAGTCACCCGTATGTCAATATTAATCTAATTACAAAATTATATATTTTGAGCGGGGCAGCACAATGGTTTGAGTTCATGGTCTGAGAAAGAATAATTTAAGTAACATTTTTAAGACTGTGCTTCATTACATCTATAATTTAACATATTCTATCTACAAGTGCACGTCACACACTGAGCGAGCTGCCTGTTAATTATGCTGTCGGCAAAGCAGTAATGACTGTGCTTAGTGGCTAATGGGCATGTAGCTACTTACATGTTGTAGATGATACCTGACGTTTGTAGTCGACGAAGGACGAAGGTGATACGTAAACTCTGCAGGCAGAATTTGCCTGCAGAGTTTACGTATCATCTTCGTTATTTTCCATTTCCACTTCCATTTTGTTTTCTATGTCCACTTTACAGCCACATATTTTCTTGTTGGTATAGTATGGTACATCTAGATCGAATATCTGCTGCTGAATTTATTCTGTTATGTCGTTCTACAGTTAATAATGTAACTTTATTTCAATTGAAGATGTTAAGTATATTCAGTTCAAGTCATTCATTAATGTGAAGAGAAATTTTACGTACAAGAAGTACATACAGAGTTATGATTTCACAACTCACTGTCAGAAAGTATTGGACAGTAAGTATTGGACTATAAGAAAGTTGAAAGTCTGCAAAGGTGGAGTCCTTTGAAGCTCTGAATGGGTCAATCTGGTTCTGGGGGTGAAGTTACAGCAGGGCTGCAGGGTTGCTATGGCCAGTGGTGGGGCTCAATTTGATATCTTTTCATGGGGCCCACAATCCCTGGCTGTCCCCATGGCAATGATGGCTTTCTATCAGGCTCGGAAGGCTGGAACCCTATTATTTTTGCTTTGACTTTTTTTTTTTTTTCAGAAATGTTTTCAAAAATTCCTGTGAAATGGTACATTGTAGACACATGAGATTTCACCACTGATTGAAAGTTGTGTGCAAATGCTGCTCAAGAAATATGACACCATGGGTGTGCCTTAACTAAGGCCCAAAAAATTTAATTTTGAAAAGGGCATGCCCCTCACACTGTAAGTAGAATTGACTTGAAATTTGACACAAATGTGCAGCTCAATGTGCTCTACGAAAAAACATACAAGAACCATGATGGGACAACAGGTGAAATTTTTCGCCATTTTGAATTTTTATGAAAAACACATTTTTGACATTTATGGGTTAAATTTGTACCAAATTTTATGTGAATCATTATTGGACAAAGCATATCACAAGTTATCAAAAGCTTGTTTATATCTCATTGCCTTTTGATGATATTTACCAATTTACCAAGAGGGGGCATGGCTCAGCAAACAAGTGGACGTGGCTCCATAACAGTTGAGCCAATGGTCATGAAAGTTGCAAGAACTGTCTAAAGAGGTGCCAGCAACATTCATCGCTAGGGGGCACCAAAAATGCAGAAAAATGAACTTGGCACAATACAAAAAATACTATCAATTAGAAATTGTTTGTCGAGTCAATGCGAGGCTTGCATCATATGTTAAATAAAAATGTTGAACCATGTGAGTAATATTATTTTGAAATTGGTCAATCAAAGGCACTGCAATGCCATTTTGATTTTTATGAAATACTAATTTTTTATTATTATTTTTTTTTTAAAGATAATTTTTGGGGCATTTTTAGCCTTTATTTGATAGGACAGGCAAGCGTGAAAGGGGGAAAGAGAGGGGGAGTGACATGCAGCAAAGGGCCACAGGCTGGAGTCGAGCCCGGGCCGCTGCAGCAACAGCCTTGTACATGGGGCGCCTGCTCTGCCGCTAAGCCACCGACACCCCATGAAATACTCATTTTTGACATCTCCTAAACCGTAGGTCCGATTTGTACCAATATTGACCAACAAACTTTTGGGTGGGCCATGGCTCAGCACATAAGTAGACCTCACTCCATACTGTTGAATCAATCATCACAATACTTGTAGGATATGTCCACAAAAGTACCTTAAACATATCCTGAAAGCGTCATTCAAATAGACCACACAGGGGTGCTACAAATGCGGAAATGGGTGTGGCATAACACACATCAGACTATGATTTAGAAAATGTTTGTCTAATCATTCCAAAACTTGCAGGATATGTTGAATTATAATGTTTGAACCATGTGTGTAAAATTATTTTGAAATCAGTTAATAGGGGGTGCCACCAGTTCCAAACAAGTGCAATGGCCTTTGGCATGATTTGACCAAAAATCAATGACCATTTGTTCAAACCTCACCAAACCTAGTGAATATTTTTAACTAAGTCATTAAAGCATCAATGCATTTGACTTACAGGAAGTGCCAGTGTTTCCAGAGAAAAACGTGGCCCAATAGAGATCTGTATGTAAATGAATGGGCATCTGTCCCATCGTCATAAAACCTGTTGGTAATCGTTAATGGAGGCGTTGTGAACCGTCAAAGGTCTTGATCCTACCCAGCATTCAAGTTTTAACCCTATGGGGCCGAACGACGCAAAGTGCGTCCAAATTCACACCTATTCTTCTCTATGAATTTTCTACGCATATCACCTGAAACAGCGGAACCGCAGCTTTCCAACAAGACTAAGCACTTGTCAGTAGTCAAATGTTTTCACAAGGAAAAACAATGATAAAGTTACACTAAAATTATGCAAAACAAAGCTTTCATACAGCTTTACACACACATTACTCTTGGATGGATTACTTACAAATGCAGGGTCGCACAGAAATGCCACACATATCACATGAAAGCACAGGACCAGAGTTTTCCGATGATACCAAACACATCATTGTGCTGTCATCCCATCACGCTGTAAATACAGATCAATTGTCTACAAAATAAAAACCTGACAAATTTCTTTATAATTCATTGTACAGATCTTGTTATCAGTCACTTCATGTAGTGAGGAATAATATTATTACTATTTTTCTATTATCTTAGATGTAAATATTGCATGTTTCTTTCAAATAAGACACAGACTTGTGAATGAGTCAATGGAATTTCTTGCAATAATGAAAAAATACTGGCAATTATGTCCGCCTGGCACAAACCACATGTTTTGGACAACCGTGAAGTGGCAGAATGTCCTACCATCATGGTTCTTATATTGCCAGATTCCAGAAAGTCTCCCCTCTTCATATATGGCAGAATATGTCTACTTCCAACTTGCTAAATGTAAGAATTTAGTAACACTAAATTAGTAGTTCATTGATGTAAAATTAATATAAAATACAGGCACATAGAAGGGCATGCAATGATGTCAAACCTGGATAGCCAAGATTGTCCTGAAAAAAAAAACAAACAAGATATAGCACGTGTATGTAACCTTTATAATGACTGTGATATGAGCTTGAAAGTAAAGGCAGTTAAAATACCCCAAAAAAGGCCTAGGACCCAAAGGGTGAAAGGTCCGTGCTGGCTTGAAAAGCTTGCTGCTTACGGCTATATTTGTGATGTGCTATTTGTATACGTGTGTGTGTTATGGATACTAAATCCCACCTTGACCACAGTGAGCAGGCCTTCGTTGGTGGTGGGGTCAGTGGGGATGGAGAAGCGTCCGGTGGGGTCTCCAGCGATGATACGGAACACAGCGCTCCAGGCTGAAGTGTGAGGCTGGTCTTTATCTGTCACAGTCAGGTTAGCAACGATCACATTCAACCTGTTCTCATGAATCTCCCCAAAGAACTGAAAGAGACAGACAAAAATGGAAACACTCTGCAGCATTTTAAACACCAGTGTGTCACTTTAAAATCAAACAATACTTTAATCCATTGGAAAAATAACTGTAAACAAATAAGACCAAAGTAAAGATGATTGTTTTTCAAAATAAAGACCATGTTTTCCACATATACTGCGTCTTCCCATCTATCCTGCTCAGCTTTACTGAGGAAGATAATGGATGTTTAATTGGTTTGTCACTACCCTCTGCCACTGCCAATAAAACCTCAGAGAGCTTCAGTGTTTTAAAAGAGAACAATACCTTGTCAATGTTTGCTGTTATAGAGCCATTACACTACCGGTGTGTGTGTGTGTGTGTGTGTGTGTGTGTGTGTATGTGTGTGTGTGTGTGTGTGTGTGTATGTGAGTGAAAGAGAGAGAGAGAGAGAGAGAGAGAGAGAGTGTGCGTGGACCTACTGTGTCTGTAGTGAATTCAGGGGGATTGTCGTTGACATCTGTGATCCTGATGACAGTGGTGGCAGTGTTGGACAGGCCATAGGTGGGATTTCCTTCCATGTCCGTAGTCTGGATGATCAGGGTGTACTGGGTGACTTTCTGGAAACAAAGTACAAAGGGGGTAGAATTGTTGGTATCAAAGAAACATGTTTCCTAACTGTACTTAGGTAAACAATTCTTTCTTATCTTCGGATAGGAATTTAGCTTTTACAGAGCCGTCCTAACTTAGGGATTTCCCAAGTTGGGATGGCATAGACCCTGTCATAATTTAAAAAATAAGCCAAATAACTGCCAAAAAACTGTCTGTTTGGCAATCACAATGAAGATGGGGAACAACAGAAACACCAAAATATAATGACTGAATGGCTACTTAAACTATATGACACTTCAATTCCTCTGACCATGTATTAATGGGTATCAACTGCCAAAACAATTAATGAATAATTAAATAATAATAGTTGATGATTAAAATAACTGATGATTAATTTTGAATTAAGTCGTCATCCTCCATGGACACAATTAGTTCCAGTGACTCCTCATTGCAAAAAATTGATCGCCTGGCTTTTCGTGTCCATGGTAGCAAGCTAGCTAGCCAGTGACAAGTGTTGAAATTATGGCTTCTCCATCTCAAGTAGCCTACTGGTGCACTCTAATCAAAAATAAAGGCAGTCTGTGTACATTATAAACACAGATACAGGCATGACAGGATGAGTGCTGTTTGAAAAATCTAATTTACAATTATAGTTAGGATTTCTTAAGGCAAGGTAGGAAGTCAGCGATAGGATGGGACACAGTCATGGATTTAGGAATTGCTCCTGTTATAGGAAGGTTTTTCCTATCTTTAAATCTTAAATTAAGGTAGGACAAGAACTTGTTTCTTTCTGAAATGAGGCCTCAGATTCTTTTTTTTTTTTTTTTTTTTTTTTGTAGAATTCTTTAGAAGCTCTAGTTGACATACTATTGACCAGAGCACCCCACCATCCATACTTTTTTTGAATGGATGTAAAACAAATCAATGCAATAGTGTTCAGAGGGCAAATGACTGCATGATTTAACAGGGGTTCTGCACAGCCCCAGCACTATTTCAATAACAATATATTTTTTTAAACTTTAAAAGGTTGGCAAAAAACTCTCATTATACTGTATCTATGAACAATAGCCTTTAGAGTTCCTGGTCAAATTTAATTCTTATCTGACATTTAAGATTTAAGATGTTTAATATATTTTTAGACCTTAATTACAAAATCAAGGTCAACATATCTAAAACAATTAATTCAGGTTAATTACAATTTAGACAGATCCTTCTTGACTTTGGATGCAATTGTTCACAAAGAAAAAAAATCTCCATTCATCATCCACTTTGTTTTCTTGTTTGAGGCTTTTGGCTGTATCATATGGGGGCAGTTATGGCTCAGAGGCAGAGCAGGTCATCCACTAACTGCAAGATCAGGGGTTTGAACCTCAGATCCTTGATCAAGACACTGAACCCCAAATTACTCCCAATGGCTTTGCCATCTGTGTGTGAGGTGATATGGTTGCTGAGTAGCAGGTGGCACCCTGTATGGTAGCCTCGGCCATCAGTATGTGAATATGGGTGAAAAGCACTTTGAGTGGTTTGGAAGACTATAAAATGCGCCATACAAGTGCAGTCTATTTACCATTTATCTTCATCATCACATTTAGTCTGCTCAGTGGTCATATGGCTGGTAAATGGTACTGCACGTGTATAGCGTCTTTATATTCATCTGACCACTCAAAGCGCTTTTAATACTGTAAGTCACATTCACCCATTCACACACACATTCACACACTGGTGGCCGAGGCTACCATACAAGGTGCCACCTGCTACTCAGTTTTTAACAAACTCACACACTGATGGAACAGCCATCAGGAGCAATTTGGAGCTCAGTGTCTTGCTTAAGGAGCCTATGGTTGAACCGCTCATCTTCCGCCTTTAAGCCACAGTCGCCCCAGTCTCCTCATATGGAATGGTAGATGTCCTTTCTTTCCAGTAATTCCAACCACCTTTGTCTGCTTAGAATTCTAATTTCAAAAAACATAAACTGTTTAGCTCAAAGTTTAAGCCATCATGGATGGGAAGTCCTAAGACTGCTCTGTACATCAACAGTCCCATGTCAAGTGAGAAGACCTTAGGGCTCATGAAGAGCCTGTGATGATGATCCAAAGCTCCACAACAAGTGAGTAAATGAACATTCACTGCAGAACGTTTTGTTACCTTCATAGTATTTCAAAATGCAATAACACTGATCTCACCCACTGAATGGGTGCATTGAATGGTTTTAATGACATTTCAGGTGTGCTAGCATTCAGTTTGACCTCCAAATAAAGTGCTTGAAATCAGTGGTTCCCAACTGGTCCAGCCACAGGGTCCACATTTCTCCTTAGTCATTAGTTCATGGTCCACACAGTATATCTTCAGCATTGTACTTGCTTTAGACCATGTTGTTGAGCTAGTTTTCCATCTCAGTCAAGTGGCAGTATGTTAGTCACTCACTCTACAGTAGGAAACGACTTGAAAAAAAATCTCTGCGCCGGAAATTCACTGTACTCTAAAATAAAGTGTGGGTTTTTTTTTTACAAACTTCACATGTTTCTGAATCACTTTTGGACTGCGACCAACAATTTGGGAACCAGTGCTTTAGATCATGTCGATAATCTGCTGGTTGGTTTACTAGTGGGTATACAACCCATAAACGACTACCCGCTGTTGCATCAACCATAGTCCCAAAGTAGGTCACATGGTGACAGCTGATCCATCTCCATGATAACTAAACCAACTCCATCTTCAGTCAAAGACCTTGAGATGTGGTTGAAAGCTTGAGGGACCATTAGACAGTGGGCTTGATGGAAAGACTATGTATTTAAGCAGAATTATCCATTGAGGATTATTGGGATCAGTGTTTAATAAATGTATACACATAGCTGACGTGTTTCTAATGTGTGTTAAGAATGTAAAGATGAACTAAAGAGAGAACTAAATTTCCAGGGTAAGAGGTCGACTTGAAGGATTTCAAACTTTTTAACAAATCTTTGAAAACATGCAAAGAGCATGACCAGATGCATAGGATCTACTGATGCAGGAATATGATGGGAGAAAGACCTACAAGCTGTCTTAGCACTGAAGGAGATACTGCAGGCTGGACACACATTCACAATCTAAGAAGCAGCTGCTCCATGTGGGCTTAAGAATGAGCCTTGCAATATGTCCACCCCAAAACACACACACACCTCCCGATCAAGGCCCGCTGCCACAGTGATGATGTCACCAGTCTTGTTGTTAATGGTGAACATGTTGGAGGAGGGGCTCTGGGGATTCTGGGAGAGGATCTTATATCTTAGCATCCCATTAGCAGTTTTTGGATCATCCTTGTCCACTGCTGTCACTGTCATCACGAAGGATCCTGCAGGGACACACACAATGAATCAACACAGATATGCTAGTGAGGAAGGATGTTACAAGTGTGCGTGCCTGTGTGTGTGTGTGTGTGTGTGTGTGTGTGTGTGCGTGTGTGTGTGTTTTCACCAGGCTTGGATCCCTCTGGTACAGAGCCGTTGAAGACGGTGTGTGTGAACTCGGGTCTGTTGTCGTTCTGGTCGATGACATTTATGACAATGTCGATGGGATTCTCCACCTGATTCCCATTCAGGTCCACTGCATGGGCTCTCAACTGTATACAAACACACACACACACACACACACACACACTAGATCATACTTGACAATGCTCAACAGCCAATGTTAACTGATGGAAGAGTCACTGGTTATGCAGGTATTAGGTTATATGATCAGCAGTTCGTTCCTTGGTAGAGCTGTGATTGGGCCCAAAAAAATCCAACCGGACCCTACATAAACTCGGTCCAAGACCGACCCCTGGTAGCAATTTTTGGACCAAGCCCAAATAAAAACCTGAATTTCTTCTGTTAAAGAAATATGTTATACAATTTTTAATACTACAACATTTATTACAAGCTAAGGGATGTGGTTCCCCGCACCACCTCTCTTTCTTCTCTTTCTTATTTCAACAGTCTCATGCGTGACAGGTTTGGCAGAGTGGACCACGCCCCTCAGTGTGTCTAGTGCACACAGCGAGCCATGGTTTTGTGGTGCACAGATGATGATCACCGTCTTCTCGCTGCATGTTACACACATCCCTGCCTCTGCTGGGGAGGCAGAAAGAAACACTGCCAAACAAGTCTCCTTGCATCTCCTCTCTCTCATTCTCTCTTTGTCGTTTTCTGTCCCTCTCTCACATGCACTCTCTCTATCTCCCCTGGTTCTCCACTATATCACTCAGTAGTACCAATTTCCCTCTCTCAGTCAAAGCCCTCAGGATCACCCAGTAGGATTCATCCTCTGGGGACCTTGAATATTTCTACTAAATTTCATGGTAATCCAACAAATATCAGTGAATCATGGGTAAAAATATTGTAACCAATATTTAACTGGAAAGAACTATATGAGAAGCAGGCACTTCAGAACATATGTATTAGGGCTGTCAACGAATATTCTAAATACGAATTTAAATTCAAATTTGAAAAAAATGGACCTTCGAATGTGAAAATTGATATTCGATTGTGGAGAGAAAAAAAAACACCACCGCAGCTGTCCTCTTTGCTAGTGGCCGTTGGCCTGGGCCGCTGCACTGAACGCACTGCATAGGCCACACCGCCCGCGGAAGTGCTGCGAAGGGCAGCGCACAGAAATTCTCGCGTGAGCTGGAACACTTCTATTCACATCAGACGCGCATTTCTCCACGCTGGTCGACAAGCGGTTCTGCTCCCAGCTGTTGTCTCCGTCACCCGGCTTGACACATTCACTCGCGGCTCGCACAGAAAACAGACCAGACACCGAAACGATCGCTGCAGGGCGCGAGTCGTAAGAGCCTGTAAGAGCCAATGTTTCCCTCATGAATAAACATGTTGGCCCAGCTCCTAGCTCTGACAACTACGTATATCCAATCAAATGAATATTCATCAGACAGCAAATGCAATGCAATGCAAATCACCCTGCTGCGACTCCAGATTTCCTCTCCCCTGTGTGAGTTGCATGTGTGCATTGCTACAGATCAAAAGGTTAGACTCTGCTCTCAGAGGTGGATGTGACTGTATTAGAGATAGTGAGTAAACACCATGAGTATTTTTTTTAAAGAATTCCTCCTCTCTGTGCATGTCAGAGAAGATATCCAGAAGAGAGTGACAGCAAAGATGAAAATAAAAACAGAGGGTTGACATACCACCAAGGTGGTGAGGCAGAACAAGGAAAAGTGTATGCAATGTACTTCTATTTTTTTCAGTAAATAGACTGTATACAGGAGGTGCTATGGTTGGTGTTACATTGCATTTTATGTTATTTGAATCCTGGTTCAAACTCCTTGTAAAACCCATTGAGGTTCAACTTTCAACATTTTAGGAACTAAGATTTAAAAGTCAAAAAAGTCCTGGAAACTGACTTGACACCATGGGCTCATCATTTAACTCAAGATAGCTCTGTGGGTATTTTTCAACTTTAAAAAAAAAAGAAACAAAAAAAAAACACTGTCCTCACAATCATGAAGAAGTGCTTCTTTTAATTCAATCAGGATGTTTGGCCAAGTACAAGAACCTACTTGCAAAGAGCACACTCGCTAGCCAACTAACATCCAAGTTTCATTAAGGCCTTTGGGCAACACAATAGCTCTCATTTACTAAAATGTGTGTAGAAACAGTTTTACTCTGCACATAAAATAAGGGCACATGTCGGATTCATGACATGTGCGCACCAGCTGATTTTGTTCTCACATAGTGAGTGTGTTAGTGAATCAGAATCATTCTAAGCTGACAGGCGTGTGCCCGCTATCTGCAATCAATATGCTGCCATGCCCCCATTTCTTTATATGGGGACGTATGTTTGCCAGAGGTGTATCATAGAGGAAGCAATGGAAAGCATGGAAAAGTTGTTTCTATGCACATAGCAAGGCCCTGACACACCAGTGTCAGACTGTCAGTGAGCATCTGTGAATGTAATGGCAGTCAGATACAGCTGAAAAGCCTTTCATCACTCTCTTCAAACGTGTTCAAAGATGTCAGTCTCTGATGAGCTCTCTGCTGAAAGCAGTCTCTTCCAGCAAGGTTAGATATGAAATCTTAACAGCTGCTTGAAGGTAAAGGGGAATCTTTTATATACCCAGCATGCCTACTTATAGGCTACAAATTAACCAGTTTGCCACAAATTAACATATGTGCAATTTAGTTACACTTTTAAGGTTAAGGTACTGTAATTACGGTTTTAATATGCTCTTTATTAAGTTAAAAGGTGTGTTTACATTTTTCTGAAACAGCTGAGCCTTTGTCATTTGTAAGTACGCATGGTCTGAGGTAGTTCTTAATTTTTTCACAGAGTAGGTACAAATTCAGGTAAAATATTGATGGATCCCATATTTTCACTAAAGCATGGTTTCAGCGCAGATTTGTGCGGACACACTCTTTCTAATTGAGGCGTAATGACCTTGATCTGTCACCAGTGGGGTTTAACATTTTATACCCTGAAAGCAATGGTTAGCCCCAGCAACAAAATCACACACCTGCTATGTGTGTCATTTCTAAAATGCCCTTTGGTAATTTAAAAAAAAAGGGATATTAAATATTTGATAGATATTTGATAGATTTGGTAGCTTATCTGTCCACTTTCCCAACCTGGAAGCGGAATCAAAATGGGATTGACTATTGGAACCCAAACCCTACTGAGCGTACGAATGTCTAGTCTGACAACCAACATCTTAGGGCCTTTGTCCACATAGTGTTTTTTTCTCAGCACCGGAGTCTTCTTTCAGTTGTACTCTATGAGGAGTGGGTGTATGCAGCCACAGAGCACTGCACTTCTCTGAACTTTAGGAAGGCGATTGGCTGGCTGGTAAGTGTTGTGCCTTTATCACTGCTAGCTTTGTCGGCTTGAAGTTAATTGTGTCAACCCTCTGTTAACTTAGTGTTGTGTTAGCTACCTGGCTACCACGCACCCCATGCCATTAAAAAAAGCATTGCCACAGGCCCTTACACAGTTGGTTAATGATGTCGTATCCCTGTTGCTTAGTTTAAAAGGGCCACACAACTTCCCCTAAAATGACAAAGGAATATGGATTAAACAGTAATAATAAAAATGACATTCAGAGGTGCTGACACAGTAGGTGTGTTTTTTTAGAGTCTCTTCACCTCCTGGCTCGAGCTCATATGACTGGTATTGATCATCTCATTTCACTCTTGGAGAAAAAGCGTACTTCCTAAAATGCTGAATTTTCCCTTTAAGTGAAAATCTGTAGCAGTCTTGGACAGCTTGCCACTAATATTATGGCCTTACATTAATCCAAGGCCCCTGTTGTTTTGTAACTAGGGTACTCTTGTTACTGCAGTTCAGCTAATTTTTACACTCAGTCTATAACTTTCCAATATGACTTCTCTTTCCCAGTGTGCTTGGCACAAATTCAGTATTAACAAGATTCCTACCTTGTCCTCTTTACCATAAGAGTGTGAGGGTCTCTGTAACATAGTGTTTTGAGTTTCAGGAACAGTCAAAGTAAAACATGTCAAAAAAAAAACTGACTAAAGACAGCCATGAAGTTCTTTGTAAATAAAAATCCAAATGTACAGTTGCCTGGACTGAATCGTTAAATGTTTGCTTTGCTGTTGACCATATCTCTCATAGTGTGAGAAGACTTACATGGAAATTGGAGATGTGTTCTCTGTCCAGGGGCTTGGTGACAGACAGCTGGCCCGAGATTGGATTGATGATGAAGATGCCGGTCGGAGGCTGGTCGGCTCCGGGGCCCGTCACACTGTAACGCAACATTCGGTTCTTGTCACGGTCTGAGCGGATCTGAAGCACGGACAGACAGAGGAGAAGAAGGACAGGGCATAGCAGGAAAGTAAAGTATTTTCAGTTAATGTACTACACACTGGATAGAGCTGGAACAGTGAATGGGGTTAATAATAAAGAGTAGAGTTTCTGCATAAAATAAATGAGTGTTCACTTCTTTGTGTGATCTGCTGCATCTACTACTGTCAGTGTATTTTCTAAAACATATCCCTGCCAGTAAGCATGACTGCCTGTTTAAAGGTGAATAGATGATAATAAACAAGTGAAGCTAAACTTTCTCAGTTTGACCTGAATGTGTCTCATATGTCAGTATGACTTTAGGCTTGCACAGGCAACACACAGCAAGTGCTTTAGGCTACTCCTACATAACTAGAGAAAATCAGATTTGAGTTGAAGTCAGAAGAAATTGTGATGCCTGGTGCACCATAATATCCTGCACACTGCTTACATGATCCAAATGAAGAGAGAGAAAAGAAGAGACAGGCAGCACTGTAAAGACAGGCTCCACATGAACACGATCATATTTATAAAACCCAAAAAAGACATGATGAATATGGACTAAGCACCTGATCACTGTGACAATCATTTCAGGTTTAACTGCAACTGTATCACTGAGTTTAACATTTGATTATTTGCAGTATTTTGTATGATCTCATGTAGAAGCACTAGATATTTATTTATTATTATTTAATATTCCTGTACTTATGTCTGTATTCATGGCAGATCAAGTAATAGTGACATGTATTGAGAAGGACAGCAACCACATCTTAGTTAACACAACTGATACTACTTTTTTTAGTCAAGTAAAATTAGCATATAATAACATGCTACAGAAAAAAATGCCTTCTAAAAGTGCAACAATAAGAGTTAGAGCTAATCTTAGCGAAGCATAAGCCTTAGCTCCATAGTTAGCTTTTAGCTGCTTACCACCTAACTGTCAGGACCCGTTCCAGCTCTTAGGTCAAGTTAATGTTTTGTTTTCATGCACCGCCTGTTTTATTTTGATACTCACCTGTTCTGTCTCATTTAAGGTCCCTTCACATCCTGTCTCTGTCTTCCTTCCCGCCACTGTGATTACTGGCTCCTCCCCTAATGTGTTGCACCTGTGTCTGATTGGCTCTCCTCCTCCTAGTGTATAGAAGCTCACCTCCCTCATGTGTCTGTGCCAGTTCATCTTGTTCCCCAGTGACAGCGTTCCAGCCTTTGATCACTCGTATTGTTGTTTTTCCTAGTGTTCTGACTGTTTACCCTTTTGACTTCACCTTAGCCCCTGTGATTCGGATACCTTAGCTCTATCTTCTGACTTTTACTTGTTTTTTGGACATTGGATTTTGCTTTATGTTTTGGACACCTCTGCCTGCTAGTTATTGAAATAAACCTTCTTTGGTTGAACTCTTCCATGCTATTGAGTCTGCTTTTGGGTTCTCACTCAGTTCGGGTCTTGACAGTACGAACTGGCCAGCAACATGAACCCAGCAGGCTCAGACTCACTCGGGACCGCTCTTCAATCGCAGGAACAGCGGCTACTCATGCAAGAGGAGCAGCTGGCAGCCATGCAGCAGGAGCTATGCAAGAAGAGCAGCTGGCAGCCATGCGGCAGGAGCTACACGGCATGGCCTCTCACCATGAGGTGACATTAAACACCGTGTGTGAGCAAATACAACACCTGCTAACCCAGGTAAACACTCTCCAGTCGGTCCCTGCTGTTTCCTCAGTGGCTGCTGTCCCTACTCCAGAACCAGTTTTGGCTCCAGCTGTGGCGTCTTCTCCTCCAGCTTTCATCTTTCCCAGCCAGAGAAGTTTTCGGGTGAGTCTGGTGATTGTCGTGCCTTTCTAACACAATGTGACCTCCACTTTGAGCTCCAGTCAGCAGCATTTCCCACCAACCGATCCCGAATAGCCTACATCATCTCCCATCTCACCGGCCGAGCCAAGGCCTGGGCCACAGCTTTGCTCAGATATTTCAACACGTAATACCGGGTCGAGAGACAGCACGAGCTTTGGTGGGGTTAAGGCAGGGTAGGCAAAAAGTGGCGGACTACGCTATTGAGTTCCGCACTTTGGCAGCCGAGAGTGGCTGGAACCCTACAGCACTGGTTGATGCTTTTTTATATGGGTTATCACCCTCACTCAAAGACCAGTTGGCCCCTCTGGATCTCCCTGATGACCTTGATGCCCTGATAGCATTAGCTATTAAGATCGACAAATGATTGTGGGAACGTGAAAACGACCAGGGAGATTCCGTTGCAAGACACCCTGCAGGCCACGGCCCTTAACGGACAGCTGCTTTGGAGGGTAACGCACTATACTAGCCCTGTTACTCGCACTTTCCCGGACGGACACTCAGAATCCCTCAGTTTTCACCTGTTCAGCTCTCCGTTTCACAGGTAGCGTCTTAGCCTGGAGCAAATTTTGCTCTACTAACTGTTTCCAAACACCACCTGTTGCTGAGGGGTGCCCTGTCCAAACCCAAAAGATAGATGCTCCTCCTGCAAACCTCACTGAGTTTTCTGATCTCTCCAATGTCCCAGCTGAGTCTTAGACCTTAAGGAGGTCTTTAGTATATCTAAGGCCACTTCACTTCCCCCACATCGTGAATATGATTGTGCCATCGATCTGCTCCCTGGTTCCTTGCCCTCTCGTGGGCGGCTGTACTCTCTTTCTCCTCCAGAAATGGCCGCCATGAAGGAGTACATCGACGCTTCCCTGGCGGCTGGCATCATTCGTTCCTCCTCATCGCCCACAGGGGCGGGGTTTTTCTTTGTCGACAAGAAGGATAAGAGCCTCCGACCCTGCTTCGAAACCAGAGGACTGAATGACATAACCATCAAAAACCGGTACCCACTTCAACTCATCTCCTCTGCCTTTGAGCTCCTACAGAGGGCAAAGATCTGCACCAAGTTCGACCTTCACAATGCCTATCATTTGGTGAGAATCAGAGAAGGGGATGAGTGGAAGACAGGGTTTAACACCCTAACCGGACACTACGCATATCTGGTAATGCCTTTTGGCTTGACTAATGCTCCTGCAGTGTTTCAGGCTCTTGTGAATGATGTTCTACAGGATATGCTTAATGTCTTTGTTTCTGTGTATCTCGACGACATTCTGATCTTCTCCCCCGACCTCCACACCCACATTCAGCACGTCCGGTGGGTCCTGCAGCACATCCTCGACCACCAACTGTTTGTGAAGGCTGAGAAATGCGAATTCCATGCCTCATCAGTTTCCTTTCTGGGTTACGTGGTGGGGGAGGGACGCATGGAGATGGACCCAGCCAAGGTGAAAGCAGTCCAAGAGTGGCCTACGCCCACAACCAGAACAACCAGAAGGTACAAAGCTTCCGTGGCTTTGCTAATTACTACCGCAAGTTTATTAGAAACTACAGTTCTGTGGCCTCCTCCCTACATGCTCTCACCTCATCTAAGACCAAGTTCCGGTGGAATCCACAGGCGGAGAAGGCATTCACCACTCTCAAACTCTTCTTCACTACTGCACCAACCCTGGTTTTACCAGACCCTGGACACCAGTTTATAGTGGAAGTCGACGCCTCAGATGTTGGTATTGGAGCCGCCCTCTCTCAACGCAGTGCCAAAGACAACAGGATTCACCCCTGCACATTCCTCTCCCGGAAGCTCTCCTCTGCTGAATGGAACTACGATGTAGGGAACCAGGAGCTCTTGGCTGTCAAAGTGGCACTAGAGGAGTGGAGACACTGGCTGGAGGGAGCGGAGCAGCCATTTGTGGTATGGACCACAAAAACCTGGAGTACCTGCGCTCTGCTAAATGGCTAAACTCCCGTCAAGCCAGGTGGGCCCTTTTCTTTAATCGTTTCCATTTCATGCTTTCTTATCGACCTGGCAGTAAGAATGTTAAGCCCGACGCCCTCTCTTAGCTCCACGGTTCCGATTCTGGTCCTGAGGTTCTCTCCACTATCCTCCCTGCCTCCTGTTTTGTGGGGGCTGTTACATGGGAGATTGAGGAGCAGGTCAGACGGGCGGGGGAGGGGGTCGTGATCCCAGTCGGGTGTCCTCCAAACCGCCTGTTCATCCCTTCTGATCTCTGCTCTCAGGTGGTGAACTTGGCCCACACTGCTCTTGTCTCCTGCCATCCAGAGGTGAAGAGAACCGTCTTCATGATCCAACAGTGCTTCTGGTGGCCAAATTTGGTGAAGGACGTCAAGGAGTATGTGGCGGCCTGTCCAGTGTGTGCTCAACACAAACCCTCTCATCACCCAGTCTCTGGCCTCCTACACCCCTTTCTGTGCCCTCGAGACCCTAGTCCGACATCTCTTTCAACTTCGTTTCTGGACTTCCTTCCTCTGATGGTAACACTGTAGTACTGACAGTTGTTGACAGATTTTCCAAAATGGTTCACTTCATTCCTCTGCACAAATAACCCTCCGCCAAGGAGACAGCGGAGGTTGTTCTGTCACATGTTTTCAGAATCCATGGATTCCCCTCAGATGTGGTGTCGGACCGGGGCACCCAATTCATCTCCCTTTTCTGGAAGGCCTTCTGCAACCTGTTGGGGGCACAGGTTAGCCTCTCCTCTGGATACCACCCCCAGACCAATGGACAGAGAGGTTGAACCAAGAGCTGGAGACCAGGCTAAGGATTATGGCCTCCCGCAACCCTTCCACCTGGAGTCATCAACTACTATGGGTGGAGTTCGCCCACAACTCCCTGCCCAGTGCATCCACCAGCCTTACTCCCTTCCGGTGTGCCTACGGGTATCAGCCGCCCCTGTTCCCAGCCTTGGAAGCAGAAGTGGGTGTTCCCTGAGCCATGGCTCTCATTCGCCGCTGCCACAGAACCTGGACTCGGGCATGGCAGATGCTTCTTCAGACCTCTGCCAAGTTCAAGCAGGCGGCTGACCGCCGGCAGTCCTAGGCTCCTACCTACACCGTGGGACAATGAGTATGGCTGGTGACCCAGGATCTTCTGCTCCGCTCTGAATCCCATAAGTTAGCTCCCAGATTTGTCGGCCCATTTCCAGTGTCA